AGTGTCGTTTTACAACCTTCGATATTTCTCAGGTGCGGTAGCGAGATCTTGGGCAAGATATTCACGGGAGGGACAACGCCTAAAAATAAAATAAAGCAAATAAACAATCAAGCCCATATCAACACCAGCGCACTACCGTCGTGTACATGTACGATGCGTAGGTCGTAGAACACCATCGCTTTCAGCGTTTTGGTGGTACATACAGTACGGGGAAATTCAAACGATGGTGTGCAAGTATGTATTGCAGCACAATAGCAGCAGTGGTTGGGACCTTCAAATTACCTTTTGTCGTAGGTTTCAAACAGCACCTCTTGTGGTCGCCTTTCTGCTGCGAATGCGCACCTTTTGACAAATGTTTCGCCTTCATTGGCCCCGGGGATGGTGCGTTAGTGGCCCCGGAATTATTGAGATACTTCCCCGCGTTAAAGACACTTTTGGGGGGGAAACCGTGGTGTGTCTTTAGAGCGGGGTCGACTGTAGTGCAAATGCCTGAGAGTTGTAAACGCGTAGGGTTGCAACTTTGTGACTGCTGTGTTGATTGTGTTGACAGTTCAATCAGCACGATGACCCGTGGGGGCGGAGGGTTGTGATCCGGTGGCCGGGTTTCCCTTCGTCTGTTTTCTTTTGTATACTTTTGGAGTTTTTCTATGAGTACAAATTGGGTTTTGAGAGCATTCGTAATGATGTACGAATCAGGGAGGGTGTTCGTGAGGTGGGTTATGCCATCCTTACGAAGGCTACTGCGGGAGTACCCACGTGTGGTTTTGAGCTTTGTCAGTGCGCAAGCACGTGGCCGTCCATCGGTCATTTGGATCTTCGGGGTATCTCCGTTAGTGGCATCTTTGGCAATTTGTCACGCGCTGTCATGTATTCCGAGTTCCGAATGTGTCTTGCGACTGTTGCTCGCGTGCCTTGGTGTTTGTGATGCACCCTGGTGCCCACTCTCTTCCGTTGCTGGTGTCTACGAGGACGACCAATAAAACAACTTTACCATCTCTTCACGTTGTCAACCGGGACAGCTCATCCGGCAGCACTAGGCTTGGGGGCGATCAACAGGGGTTGCTTCTACCTGCTTCAAACGGAAAGCATGATACACGCTACCTGACCCTTTGTATCCTCGCGAACGCGTAGTACTAAGAAGATATGCATACATTGGATGAGACAACACGATGACAGCGATGGCGAAGCGTATGCGTGCTGCGCCTTGCCGTTAAAAATGACAAACGTGTGAATGCCACCTCAGACTGTCGTAGATTGTGACGTCAGATGACCTGTCGGAGATCTACCTTCGGGGTGTTACCGCAGATAGAGTCAGTGCAGGTTGGATGCTGAACCTTGCTTCAACACAAGGTTGATCCCTACCTGACACACACACTCAACTCAACTATCCGTACATCAGCCTCTCCGCCAGAGGTTGAACCGGTGTGTATCCACACCACCCATCCCAAAGGGAACTTACTCACACGTGAAAACCTGGAGACAACCGGCTCATAGTGGCGTCAGCGGCAGGTTGTTGAAATAGCTGCGGTTGCGCTACTAGACGTACACGACACCGAAGTCGTCGTGTTTACGGGCGCAGTGAGCGACGGACTCGGCGAGGGATTTGATCCATTCGTTGCCTGCGCGGACGGAACGAACCATGGTGCTGCAGGGGACAACGGTGTCAGTCTGGGCAACGACGGAGCTAAAAACGGAACGCTTGAACTTACCGATGTAGGTGCTGTTGCAATCGTTCCACGAGACGACGTAGCTGACGCTGTTACGACAGACGATGGGGCAGGCACCTACTCCGTCAGGAGAAGCTATTGTCACGCGATGGTAGCTGGCGAGAGCTCCGGAGGAGTCCGCCTGTGCCGCAACGCTCGGAGGTAAGCCTTCATCTCCTCCTTGCACGTTGCCTCTAGCAACTGCAAGGACGACAATCGGTCCACACCATCATCATCCGATGACTGGTGCAACCGATTCCCTTCGTCTTCTGATGAAGAGGACGACGACGATGGAGACGGCGACGACGGGCCGGCGGGCGACGCTGGGACGTGTTGGTCTTCGTCCTCCTCTTCTGGCTCGAAGTCAACGAGCTGCTCTTGGTCCCTTTCCTCTTCCTGGAAGTGGACCTCTCCAGATTTTTTCTGTTTCGTTTTTTTACGGTTCCCCATGATGACAACTGCCGCAAGGTTGTGCCACCAACGCACAAAGAACTAGACAAACACACGTAACGCCGTTGACGAAGGGAATCGGTTGCACCAGTCATCGGATGATGATGGTGTGNGTCGCACCAGTCATCGGATGATGATGATAGTGTGGACCGATTGTCGTCCTTGCAGTTGCTAGAGGCAACGTGCAAGGAGGAGGTGAAGGCTTACCTCCGAGCGTTGCGGCACAGGCGGACTCCTCCGGAGCTCTCGCCAGCTACCATCGCGTGGCAGCAGCGTCTCCTGACGGAGTAGGTGCCTGCCCCATCGTCTGTCGCAACAGCGTCAGCTACGTCGTCTCGTGGAGCCTCGTCTCGTGGAACGAGTGCAACAGCACCTACATCGGCGCGTCCTAAGCAGAAGTTGACTTTCAATAAGTCACTCACCGCGCGTCCGCCGACACAACAACGTGGAACGCCCGCAGCTCGTGGCCGAGGTTCGGGTAGAGGTGGTGGTCAGCGTCGGCCGTCGTTCGATCCGTGTACCCATCCCTCCTGTCGGTCGCACAAGACTCACCCGATCGAGCGCTGCTGGGTGAGGATCGCGGAGGAAGAAGAGCGTCAAGGTCGTTCCGCGTCGAAGCGGTCCCGTAAAGATCGTCGGCGAAAGCAGAAGGACGGCTCGTCGGACTCCGAATAGGGGTGCCCAGGTGTTGTGCCCGCAATACCTGGGAAGAAATCTGCTGCTGCCGTAGTAAGTAGCAGTAGGGGCGTGAAAGGATATATTGATCGTTTTGCGTCACTTGCGCGTTCGTCTATGTCGTCTAGTACTCCGAGTGATAGATCGCGTTCGAAGAGTACAAAACGACTTGTAAATAAGGCACATGCGTCCCCTGTCGTAGAACAATCACATAAAAGGTGAAAGCGTTCGTCTAACGCAGCCGCTAGAAGGTTAGAGCGTTCATTTAACGCAGCCGATTTAGACGTGGTTGATAGAGAGTCCCCTGTGGGATCGCGTGACCGTCAGAGTGCCAAGAAAACAAGGGCCGACAGGATTGTTGCCGTACCGAAAATATTATCGGAGCGAAAGAAGAGGAAGGGACTTCGAATGGAATTAAACAACGTGTTTCGTGGTACAGCTCAGCGCTGGCGCGGAATAAACCGCCTCTGTCTCTGTCTTTTTCATCCAAACGCGTTCGCGCTCCTGGATATATCGATGGCCAATTTCTCCCTGAAATCACCATTGATACTGCAAGTGTCGTCACGTGCGTTTCACTTTTGTTTTTGAAACAGCACCCATCGTTATCGTTTGCTCGTTTGGAGCCTATACCGTCTCCGTCCCTAAAACTCAGCGCCGCAAATGGTGCACCAGTCAAAGTTTTAGGATCGTTCGTTGTTCGGTTGGGAGACGTGTCCCGCCGAATCGATGCGTTGGTCGTACCATCGCTCGGTCCTGCTCAAATACTCCTCGACAATGATGCCATGACTCGGTTTGGAGCAGTACTTGACTGGACAAATGAAGTTTTGACTTTTGAGTGTAGTGACACTAATGGCCCCGCTATTCATCGTAAAAAATCTCAACACGGTTCTGATCCGTCGCCGTCCCCCGTGTTGCAGCCGTTCATCGAAATGCGGAAGAACAATCAGTCAAATTACGTCAACGTCATAATATTCGCCCTCGTCATGCGATGATCGTAAAAGCATTTGCGGAATGCATACCGTCCGTTGATATCGCCGTAGTAGTCGTGCCGCGTATTTTGTCGGCGGATGAACTTTCGTTGGATACTGTCCCGCCCGAATTTGAGCGTTTAATCGTGGCTCGTACCGTCTCAACATGGAGTGCTGTTGATGGTTCGGTAGTTGTCCAAATTGCGAATCCATCATCTGAGTATCTCGCCGTACATGTTGGATTGGATATTGGAACTTTATCGCCGATTACTATAGTAGCACAGGAACAGCATCACGTCCACGCTGTTGCT